TCTCCCAGGTGTTCCAGTCATCTGTTGAAAAGGCGCCAGGATCTGTGTGATTTCCCGTGCGGTTACTCACTGTGCTGGCTGAAACAATGGCGCTGAGATTCCTGGCAGTTTTTTTGCCCAGGGATCTCCTGGCCTGGCTCCCTCTTTCAGTCCCCTTTCAAATCAGATGAATGGGTGATCTGTCTTCCTGGGGCTCCAATCTCCAGCTAAGAGGGCACCGGCCCAGTGTATTTTGTATGGAGAACCACCGTACAAAGCAGCCGCTTGGGCCAAAACAGCCATGCTGGCCAAAACAGCTGCGCTGGCGATCCATGGGGCTCCTCCGCCTGGGGATCTTCTGGTCTGTGGGCAATAAAAATCTGTCTGGAAATGCGGTGTCCACTCACCCTCTGCACTTTCACTGGGAGCTGCAATGCTAGGCTGTTCCTAGTTGGCCATCTTCCACCTGGAATCGGTCAAGGCCTTTTCAATAAAATGATCTCAGGCTTCCAGCTTCCAGGACTGTGAGACAATAAATTTCTTTTTTTTTTTTTTTGTCCCTAAGTTTGTGATACTTTGTTATGAAAGACATAAGAAGTGAATATGCTGTTTTTATTATTTAAACATTATCTCTTGTCAGCAATCAGTTAAACCCAAACAAGAATATCCCAAGACACATCATAATAAACTCTCAAAGAGCAGGCAAATAGAGCAATTGAAAGCACAAAGAAAAAAAAGAAGCAAATCATATGTAAGGGAGATCCAATATGCCTGGAAGCTGACTTGTAGTTGAAATTTTGCAGGTCAGAAAGGATTGAGATGTTATATGCAGAATGCTAAAGGCCAAAAAAGAAAAAGAAAAGACTGCCAAGAATACTGTACCCATAAAGCTATATTTTAGAAATGAATTGAAATAAAGACTTTCCAGGCAAATAAAAAAGCTGAGGGAATTCATCATTATCATAACTGTTCTATAAGAAATGCTAAGTGGAGTTCTTTGAAGTTAAAGAAAAAGGCCTTAATGTGATTGTTACTCTAGTATCATAATTGTGGCATGTAAACCACTTATATCTTTAGTATGAAAACTAAAAAGAAAAACTATCAAAAATAATAACTACAATAATTTGTTAGGAGATAGCAAAATAAATGTGTAAATCATGACAAAAATCAAAAGGTGGAAGGAGAGGTGAATTGTACCAGATGATCTTGTTTCGTCTCTTTTCTTTGTGATCAGTGTCAACTTGCTGTCATTTAAAATAACTTGTTATAACTATAAGATGTTTTTTATAAGCTTTGTGGTAACTGCAAAGCAAAAATCTATACTAGATATGCTAAAACTAAACACAAAGAATCAAAAGATACTACTAGAGAAAATCACAAATAAAAACTGTAAAAATAAAAGAAAGGGTGAAAAATCTACAAAACAAGTAGAAAACAAGTAACAAAATGGCAGTGTTAAACCCTTATCTATTAATAATTACCTTGAAAGTAAATGGATTAAATTCTGAAATTAAAGACATAGAGTGATAGAATGAAATTTTTAACTTAACTATAAGCACACACATAAACTTAAATTGAACAAAAGGAGAAAAATATTTCTTGCAAATGGAAACTGAAAAAAAGATAGGAGTAGCTATGCTTACATCAGATAAAATAAACACTATGGTCTTGTTTCTTTTTGCAGGTTTTTTTTTTTGCCAGAAATTGCAAAAAGAGATAAGACCAACCATAATAGTTAAGGGGTCAATACAGCAATAAGATAAAACAATTATAAATATATATGTTCCAACATCAGAGCACCTAAATATATTGAGCAAATATTAATAGGCCTAAATGAAGTGATAGGCTGCATAAAATAATAATAGGAGACTTTCAGCAATGGACAGATCATCCAGATAGAAAATCAACTAAGAAATATTGAAATTAAATCACATCCTATATCCAAAAATCACAGAACATTTCATCCAACAGCTGCACAAGACATATTCTTCTCAGAAACACACAGAACATTTTTCAAGCTAAATCATATGTTAGGCCACAAAACAAATCTCAACAAATTTTTAAAAATCAAATTAATATAAAATATCTTTTCTGACCAGAATGTAATAAAACTAGAAATCAGTAACACAAAGAACTCCGGAAACTGTAAAAATACGTGGAAATTAAGCAATATGCTCCTAAACAATCATTGGGTCAGTGAAAAAATAAAAATAAAATTTAAAAAGTCCTTGAGACAAATGAAAATGCAAACATAACATACCAAAACCTATGGGATACAGCAAAAGCCATTTAGCATTAAATGTCTACAACAAAAATTTAAAGATCTGAAATAAACAAACTAATATTACACCTAAAGGAACTAGAAAAACAAAAACAAACTAAAATTAAAATTAGAAAAAGGAAATAATAAATATCAGGGCAGGATAAATAAAAGAGACAAAAATACAAAAGATCAGCAAAATTAGTTTTTTGAAAAGACAAACAACATCAACAAAGCCTTAGCCAGACTAAGAAAAAAGAGAGGTGACTCAAATAAATAAAATTAGAGATGACAAAGAAGACATCACATCTGATGTCACAAATAGGACCCTTAGAGACTGTTACGAACAAATATAAACCAAAAAATTGGAAAAAAAAAACAACAACAGATAAATTCCTAGACACACACAAACCTTCTAAGACTGAATCATGGAGAATTAGAAAACCTCAACAGGCCAATAAAAGAATAAGGAAACTAAATCAATAATAAGAAGTCCCCCATCAAAGAAAAGTCCAGGACTTGAAGGCTTCACAGGTGAATTGTACTAAACATTTAAAGAGGTAATACCAAAATAGCAAAAATATACAAATGGAATTATATCAAACTAAAGAGCCTTTACACAGCAAAGAAAACAATCAAGGAAGTGAAGAGACAGCCTGCAGAATGAAATAAAATATTCACAAACTATGCATCTAACAAGGGACTAATAACTAAAATACAAAAGGAACTCAACAGTAAAAAAGTATGATTTGAAAGTGGGCAAAGGATCTGAATAGATATTTCACAAAAGAAGACACATGAATGCCCAAAAGGTATCTGAAAAAAATTATCAACACCACTAATCATCAAGAAAATACAAATTAAAGCCATAATGAGATATCATCTCACCCGAATTAGAATGGCTATTAACAAAAGTCATAAAATAACCAATGACAGTGAAAATGTAGAGAAAGAGGAACTTATACATGATTGGTAGAAATGTAAATTAGCATAGCCATTATGGAAAACAGTATAAAGATTCTTCAACAAATTAAGTTAACCACCATAATATCCAGCAATCTCTCTATTGGGCATATATCCAAAGGAAATGAAACACTATGTCAAAGAAATAGCTGCACTCCCATATGTATTGCAGCACTATTCACTATAGGGAAGATATAAAATTAACCTAAGTGTCCATCAACAGATAAGTAGATTTTGAAAAGTTATACATTTATATATATATAAATATGTATGTGTGTGTGATATATATGTCAATATACATACTGAATATATATTATATTTCATTGAATATATATATACACATATATATACTCATATATATATTCAATGAAATACAATATGACCATAAAAAAGAATGAAATCCTGTCCACTTAACATGGATTACGGTATGTTAATGACAACATGGATTAACCATGTTAAGTGAAATAAGAGAAGCACATGACAAATACTGCATGAGTTCACTCATATGTAGAATCTTTGAAAAGCTGATTTCATAGAAGTTGATAGTAGAATAGTGGTTGTCAGAGGCTAGGGAAGGAAGGAGGTAGGGGGAGACAGAGAGAGGTTCATCAGCAGGTACAAAGTTACAGTTTGATAGGATAAATAAGTTCTAGTGTTCCATGGCACAGTAAAGTGACCATAACTAACAATAATGTATTATATATTTCAAAAGAGCTATAAGAAGGGATTTAGATGTTCTCACCACAAATAAATGATAAGTGTTTAAGATTATAGATTTGCTAATTACCCTGATTTATATGTATCAAAACATCACACTGTTCCCCATAATATGTACAATTATTTTGAGTCAATTAAAAACAAAATAAAAGGCCAAGGCAAGTGGATTGCTTGAGATTCAGGAGTTTGAGACCAGCTTGGGCAACACAGTGAAACCCAATTTCTACTAAAAATACAAATAATTAGCCCTGTGTAGAGGCATGCACCTGTGGTCTCAGCTACTTGAGAGGCAGAGGTGAGAGAATCACCTGAACCCAGGAAGTCGTGGCTTCAGTGAGCTGTGATTGCCCCACTGCACTCCAGCCTGGGTGACAGATGAGACCCTGTCTTTAAATACACAAATAAAATAAAACTTAAAAATTAAAATTAAAAAATAAAAATAACTTTTCCTAGTTTATTTTCTGAATCCTAAATCCTTCTACTACTTGTGGCAGCAAGACTGACTGAATTTCATAGGCAACTAGACAAGATTTATCTCCTTTATTATCTTTTCAAGGAGGATCTTTAACTCTTTGTGAGAGTCTTCCTTCACTATTAAAGACAGTCTTCCTTCACTATTTTGTTTCTTTCCCCACTATATCCCAAGCTCTGTGAGAACAAGAATCATTAGGTACCATCATGAGTGTGTGTCTTTCATGAGGAAAGGTAGTATGTGCCATCACGACATAGTTCATTTTTGTTTCTTTATCACTAAAACCACCAGTGAGGGTGTCTCTGTAATCTAGTGTTGGAATTCAGAATGGATAGAGCTGGCCCTGCTGCTAATGAAACGCAATGGCCCAAGTGGAAGTAGCTCATAAAAGGCTAAGCTTTCATATTAATCCCAAGGATACATATGGTGTTTTTCATCTCTTATCACAGATCTAGAGTACACTGCTTCTCTCAGGACACGGCTAGAAGATTAACTCACTGATTTTCCACATCGTTGATGGTATCAGGCAGAGGCAGATTCTTGGTTTCTGGTAGGAGGAAGACAACAATACCAGCAATGATGGGGGAAACTCCGTAAATGATCCATGGCAAAGTGGTAACAAATACTGTTAAGGTCATCAAGAGGGGAGCCAGTGCTGCTCCAATCCTACTAGTCATTAAATCGATTCCTAAAGTTCTTGCCCTAAAGATAAATGACAAAACACGATAATCAGAAAAAAATCTACACACATAATTTGTGACATATTATTTTGATTTACCTACAGAAGACAGTAAAACACAATCATTAAAAACATGGGCAAACAGTTGCTTTTGAGATTTTCTCTATGATTTTCTGTTTTTAATCAGATTCAATGTGAGTTAAGATTCCTTTTCATCATTTTAAACAGACTGTTACACATTACACCTACTCTGATGAGTGGTCCAAAAGCTTAGTGAGATGATGCATTAAAATACTGCCCAGCACAGTAGATGGCACAAAGCCATCTTGCAATAAACATTGGCCATAATTTTTGTTAGTATATTATTAGTATCATAAATGATTGCTTTTATAATAATAAACAGGTCTCAGTTTTATTCCCTCAGTAAGTGTTTGGTAGGAAATTGTTATTTTGGGCTCTGGTGGAGCATCGATATCTCTTATACCTGAGAACAGTGGGGACGAGTTCAAGGAGGTGAACAGCACAACTGGAAAAAGCAGCAGCAGAACAGCTGATTCCCACACATGCCAAAGCCACACGCAGGGTCTGCATTTCTGGAAAATAGAAGAGACCAGTGAGACTCTGAGATCTGGGCTAAAGGAAGCAACATCCACCAAACTTAATTTAAAAACAACCTATTGAATATTTGCATGTTTGAAAAATACTGTAGAAACAACAGTGACAGAGAACATCCAGTGGTTGATAAGCTGAAAAATTATCAGCTTAGAATTATCAACTTAGGTGACAAAAATGCATAAAATTATCTGGATTAATGCAGGAAATTCCCCTGCATATCTAAGGTTTTTCAGAGAGGGAGGGGAAAATTTTAGCAGAAATTTTTTCTTACTTATTCTGTCCAGTATTTGCTATGCCCATTCTATAGAAGGTAGAATCATCATGTGGACAATTATTGAGGAGTCTGAGACTCAGCACTAAACTTGAGAACTTTACAATTAAAGTGCAGAATTTAAAGTGACCAGCCATCCTCAATTTCCCAGGGATGAAGGGGTTTTAGTGATGTGAAAATTTTATTGATAAAACCAAGAAAGTCCCAGGTAAATCTGGATAACTTAGTCAATCTAGTGCAGATGCTGTATTGTCATGGAGTTGGTATTGCACAAGAGACTAATGAAAAATCTCCTTTGTTGCAGGGCAGAGTAAAGAGAGGCTAGATCCAGAATGATGATAGGCATAAGGAAGCAAGAAATAGAACTTCTATTTGGGGAAAAATAAATTCAGAATTTGGAAGCCATTAAAAGGAAGTTTCAGAGAATGTTTTCTGCCTAACGTAAAAAGAAATAGAATCATACCTTTATAAGATTAGAAAGTGCTCTAATGTAAGACAGGAAATATACATTATTGATAATATTCAGAAAGAGGAGTTGAATTCCCCAATCTATTATGCGGTAATATACAATCTTGTATTGGGAAGCAGGGAAGGCATAATGCCTACTAAGTTTCCCCTAATCATTATATATAATCATTGTATTAACTTATAAAATAGTCTAACAGGGAGGTAAATAGGCTTTTAATCTGCCTAGTTTGTTGTTCCTACCATATATTTGTTCTCTGCTTGAAAACAAAGGATTTCTATTTCATTAAAGTCAAAAAGATTTCCCCCAATCCAGGGCTGCAGTCATGCTGACTTAACATCACACCCAAGTGTGGCTACACAGATCTCAGTGAGTAGACTGGTCAGTGAAGACAGAGTAATGAGGAAAAACCTAGACAGAGCCCACACAAAGGAAGCAATCATATCGTGTGCTCAAATGGGATATAATTGCAAGGCCTAGACATGCCATTCTTGTTATCAAAAGTATGATTAACCAAAGGGCATGTGATCGGCTGATGTCCTAGAGAAACTGTCAGGAATGAATGGCACCACTATCTAGCTACTTCCAGAGTTGATGAAGATAAATGCAGATCTGAGCTGCCCCTGGCTTTTTTCTCAATTCTTAGCCAAATCTGTATTACATGCTCATATTGCTTTGGGGGAATATGCCGCCTTTAAATGGCACCCCTCCTTATTCCTGGTTTTAGGCAAGTGTGACCAATACAATTCCTGAAGAATGAAGAGAAGACACTTTCTTTCCCCCAAAGTCCACTCTTCTCTCACCTTCGGGCACAAACGTGTTGGCCAAAACGGAAAGGCCCACCAGGAACATGAACAATATCTGGCTTATTCGACGGCCCATATGATTTAGTGTGAAAAGAGCAAGACCTCGGACTATGAGAGTAGCAGCTCCAAAAAGTACCTGCAACAGGAAAATATTGCTCCCCACATGCTGAAGATTGATCATGATACCATAAAAAGGTATTGTGTTTGCAAATCTGTAGTGAACAAAATAGAAAAGACACGTCATAAGGTTTAGAGACTACGTCCTGCAGTTGATTATCATATTGGCCCAGGCTGTTATTGGTCACTGTTAAGAAATAAAGACTCAGTACGATTTGTAGAGTACTTTGTTTTAAAGATGGCGATCTTAGAGTTATCCTGAATAATTGCATGACATTTTATAAGAACAGGACTCCTGTCAGTCATTCTTTTGTCCAAGTCTTCAAGCATATAGTTGATAATGACAGGAAAACTTAACCTGAGTCAGTCATCACACTCAATGGTATATAAGCAATGAACATAGAAGAATTAAAGCTTGAAAATTAGGGAAATAATTCCTTTTCCCAGAGCTGTCAGTATGCTGTAAGTGCTCTTTCTCTTCTCCCCAACACTACTACTATGAAGAATTTTCCCTTTGCTGGAGAGTAACTCTCAAAAAGACTACCTGCTTGGCAGCACTATCTGGGAGCACAGCGTTGTGGTGCCTGACACAATTATAAGAAATTTAAGGTAAGAAACAGTGGCTATCTCCTGAGGAGTCAGAGCAGAGACAGAGAATGTGATTAATGAATAAGCACACTGGAGGGACACAGAGGCAGGGATACACGTGTTTCTCTTATAGACCATCTGTGGGCTCTTTGGAAGTAGGAGATGACCAGGAGCCATTTTAAGTAAAAAACAAATAACATTCAACCACTCTATGTCTTTAATTGCAGAACTGAATCCATTTACATTCAAGGTAATTATCGATAGGTAAGGGCTGAGCACTTTCATTTTGTTACTTGTTTTCTACTTGTTTTGTAGATTTTTTTCCCTTTTCTTTCACTTTTAGAGTTTTTATTTGTGTTTTTCTCTAGTAGTATCTTTTGATTCTTTGTGCTTTAATTTTAACATATTACAGGTTTTTGCTTTGCAGTTACCACATAGCTTATAAAAAACATCATATAGCTATAACAAGTTGTTTTAAATGATAATGGAACTAGTCCACAATAATGATCTACTACATCCAGAAAGAACTAGCTTTAGACATTATGGCAGAAGAAACCACCACATATCATAGCAATTCCAAGCAAGAAAGTTCTTCTCTGACCATTATCTCTACATATTTGTCCCACTCTGACTGTCTAGGATTCAGAAGCCAGAGTCTGTGATGTGGTGGGTAGGGGAAAAGTGATAAAGCACAATGCAATTAAATGAAGTAGCCACCTCTAGGATATGCCTAGGAAGAGGTAAACTGTACAATTCAATAGTACTGTGTTCAGCTTAGAAGTGGACGTATGCTCTCCTGTAACACTTTTTATAGGTTTTCAAAAATTCAGAATTATATTTAAATTTTTTTCTACTGACACTACCAAAGTAAGTACTTACATATCCCCAAGAGACAATGTACAAGATTGTCTACAGAAGCCCTTGTGCGAACACCCCAAATGGGAAATAAGTAAAAGTCCATCAACAATGAAGTAGATAAAGAAATTGTACTGTATTCATCTTTTGGAATGCTGAAACACTGAGAAGGAGAACAATCTATTGTTACACGCAGCACACTGATAAACCTTAAGAAAGTAGAGGAAAAGGAGCCTGTGACAAACAGAGCCATGTTCTCTTTTACATTTTGTGAAGGTCAAAATCAGGCAACAATCCTACATAGTGATGGAGGCCAGACTGTCCTTAAGTTTTTTTGGCAGGGAAGTTGTTATTGCTGTAGATGATGCACAAGGTTTGTCTACATCTTAATCTGGGTGTTGATTATATTTTCTGTTTCCTTCCTTCCTTCCTTCCTTCCTTCCTTCCTTCCTTCCTTCCTTCCTTCCTTCCTTCCTTCCTTCCTTCCTTTTCTTCCTTCCTTCCTTCCTTTTCTTCCTTCCTTCATTTCTTCTTTTCTTTCTTTCTTTCCCTCCCTCCCTCCCTTCCTCCCTCCCTTCCTCCCCCTCTCTCTCTTTCTTTTCTTTTTTTTCTTTCTCTTTCTGTCTTTCTTGGAGTTGTACACATTCATAATCTGTGCACATTACTAAGATTTGTTTCAAGTAGAATTGAAAAAAATAACGAAAATTAAACACCAAAATTTATCCTCAGTATCAATCAGCAGCGATGAGACTAGCAGGATGATAGGGCTAACTGACTCCTCACTGTGTAACCAGTCCATGTGAGTCTACATAACCCTCTGCCTACCTTCAAATGTGGCAGGTATCTGTATATTTTCTTCATCTTTTATGTACAAATCAGCCCTACGTGTACTTGCACACACACACACACACACACACACACACACACACACAAACACACACAGTACTGTTGTAACCTTTGAAATAAAAAAATCCATTCATGTCACCACACTTTTAATGCCCCTGATATACTGTAATGCCCACCTGATAAATAACAGGATACAGATCCTTTTACGCATACTGGGGTGGCGGAACAAGTCACACACAGTTGTTTTGATCTGTGCTGCATCCAGTTCCTCCTGCATGGTAGATCTCACAACCTTCAATAACAAACATGAATCATTTACCAACATCGCCCCAGGCATTGTGATAAGAACTGGCACTCCATAGGACAAGGGAAATGTGTTCCCTTTCTCTCAAGTGTGATATATGATACACAATTACAGGAGTGAAAGTGGTGTGAAGGAAAATAAATGAGAACATTAAAGGAGCCTTCAGGAAATCATGCAGCAATAAAGACATTTGAAAATGAGGCCCCAAAGGGGTGTAGTGTATCCACAAGGATGCATAGATTATAGATTCAGATCAGGAAGTGAGCTAAAGGAAGAGATAGTTACATAATTCCCAAAGCTTCTTTTAAATAAGATGGCCTTGAAAAAATGAGAACCGAGCTTGTGTTCTCAGCTAGCTACCCTTCTTAGAAGCAGTTTGTCTATTTCGACAAGGAGAAGACAGATGTCAGCTTGTGTTGTCTCTTCAACCCAGTAACCACCTTCCCTTTCCTACTCACATCTATGTTCAGGGTTTCTTCAGCATTCTTCATTCCATTTGTGCGTGCAACTTTTCTAAGTACTTTTAAGCCCTCATCTAGTTTATTGGTGATTATCAACCACCGAGCAGATTCAAACAGCCACCTGATAAAAGAAAAACACACAAATGCAGTTATCTCTGTCTTTCTTATTAGTTATATGATTATTGGCTACGCGTGCCTTTTGCCTTCTATTTATACCCACCACTTAGTTGGGTTGGAAATAGAAAGTCATATTTTATTATACAAATACTAGGAAAACATGACCATGATCCTGCAGAACACCTTCATGGTTTAGGAACACAGACTTTGGAGTTAAATCGCTTCTTTGTTTGATCACAGGAAAATTTTCAAAGGAGTCTGTGAAGCTTAAGCTTTAGGCTCCCTACATGCATAAGTTCTTTCCAAAGCTTGGCATGAGTTCTAGCAAATTTATGTCGATGATATGTATTCTTTAAAAAAAATAAATAAGTCTTCAAATTATGTAAGCTTAAAGCTGCTCAAAGGTTGGAAGTACTTCTGCCACTAGCAGCTATGTTGGTAACTTAGTATGCAAGTGAGTCATTCATTTACATCTGCTTCAGTTTCCTTGTCAATAAAATGAAAACAGCAGTGCTATATTCCTTATTGGGTTGTTATGAAGATGGAATAAGATAATGGATGAGTCTGACATGGATTATGCTCTACTCTATCAAAATTCATCTCACTGTGTTAAAGCTGTAGTAATATCTCAATGGTCCAGTAATTTCTAACTGAATCTGATCTCCCCTAGATTGCTTTTAAAGGTAGAGAAGAAGTTTGCCACAAATAAATGTTTATTAAAATTATCTGATGGAGGAGGAAGTGCTGAACGCATGCTATAAATCACTCAAACTGCGTACCAACTTTTAGTACTGGTGAAACTGTGCTGCTCTATTGCCAAAGAGCTGTATGAATACACTTGTGGTCTCTTGCTTTTATCCAATTTCACCTGTAAAAGTGAAAAGCATTATACACATCACCATAGCCTGATTTATTTCCAGGTAAAAATGAATCAGAGATATTCCTTTCGAAATATTTTGAGATATTCCTTTGGGTCTATATTTTTAGTAAGAAAAACAAAATTGGAATTTTTCTATGTCCACTATAAAAGTTTTTTCAAATTTTACATCAGAACTCCCAGGCAGAAGTCACTGCTATTTACCATTCTGTTTCTCAAGCTGCACAGAGTGAACAGATGAGAACATCAGTCTAGGTCCAAATGTGGGACTAAGAAAATCAATATGTTCTTATTCAATATTCATTTTCATTCCAGGACCCCATAAGACAAGAGAAAAGGCTCCTACCTTGAGAAAAGAAAGAAGACAAAGAAAGGTACAGACACCACCAGATGCAGGGTTTGCCAATCTCGAAAGACATAAGCCAAGCCTCCCAGGATTATCTGTCCAATACTAAGGGCCCCAGATAACAGTATTACTACCAGGGCTTTAGACTGGGGCCTTATCCACTCGGTACCTGAAAGAAAACCCATAGAGCATATTAAAGTCAAATAAAGATGAAATTTCAGTTTCAGATTCCAGGCTCAAAAAATAGAGAAGATCACAATGGTTGACTTACTGAGTGTAGTATTATTTGAAATGATGTTCATTAAAGAAAAACCTGCCAAGAAGCGTAGTAAACAGTAAACAGACAAGGTGGGAGCAAAGGCAGTGCAGGTGTCAGTGATGGCAAGCTGAAGGAAAGACCATCTGAGAATCAATCTTCGCCCAAACCTGAGAAACAGAGAGTCATGTTAGATTATGACAGCAATAATAACTTGAGGTAAAAACTTAAGAAAATGAAAGCTTACTCTAAAATTTGATAATATTTTAACAAATTGTTTTGTGTACTTGAAATCTTGAAAGATCAAGAGCTAAATCAACAACAAGAATATCCTCAGAAGTAATCCTCCTTGTTTATAATACAGACTAACAATATCAAAATTTTGTCATTTAATAACAAGAAGGCATCTGATACCAACTGATACTGTATAAAAGAAGCTACAATGTTGGAACTGTAATATGTAATAAGTGTCTACTATATTAACATATGTATCTAGCATGGTAGAGATTCTGCATAGTATATGAACTACGAAAGAGTTAAATACGTATTTGGGTCTCTAAGATTATGCAAGCCAAGGCTAAGCTTATATATGTTAGTTGAACAATGCATCAAAGTTTCTGTTGGGTTGCCTAAGGGGCTCTCATCAAGAAAATTGGACTTTTATTGTTGATCTTGGTTTATGAACCTCTGTGTTCCATCTAGAACAGAGTAACACCTCCATAGGTCTAACCCTAGGCTTAACTTCACCAAACCACACATGCATGCATGCACCCCAGCATGCACCCCTGAGAAACAGCCTGGCAAGCTGAACCCCAGCAAAACCTTACTACCATAACCAACTGTTGCAGCCTATGCTGCTTAGACACTAGTACATAGACACTAGTACATGACACTAGCCTAAGTTAAAGCTGAAGAAACTACACAGAAACTATACTACCCACAAAGAACCAAAGCCTAACATACCCCATAAAAGTGACAATGCAAGACCCATTCATACAAATAAGTCTTTCCTTATGAAGCTTCTTCATAAACTTGTAAGAGGCAACCTTTCCTCTCAATGCAAAGAAATCAATGTAGAGACAAATCAAACATTACAAAGGAAGAAATCTGACACCTTTAAAGGACCACAATAATTTTCCTATAATAGATCCCAATGATAGAGAAATATACAAAATGCCAGAAAAAGAATCCGAAATAACAATATTAAACAAACTCGGTGAGATACAAGAGACTATAGATAGGCAATTCAATAAAATTACAAAAACAACACATAATTTGAATGAGAAATTTAACAAAGATATAGATATAAAAAAGAATCAGACAGAAATCCTAAGGCTGAATAATTCAATGAATAAAATTTAAAAATGCAACTGACAGCTTCAACCATAGACTGGACCAAGTAGAAGAAATTTCTAAACTTAAAGACAGTTTGCTAAAAATAGCAGAGAGAGATGAAAGAAAAAGAATTACAAAAACTGAAGAAAGCCTACAGAATTTATAAACACCATTAAGTGAATAAATATTTGCATTATGAGAATTCCAGAAGAAGAGAAGGGAAAAGGTTAGAAAATATATTTTATGATATAATAGCTGAAAAATTCCCAAGTCTTGGGAGCAGGATGGACATCCTGGTACAAGAAGCTCAAAGAATGCCAAATAGATTCAACTCAAACAGGTCCCATATGAGACACATTACAGTCAAATTGTCAAAAAAGCAAAGACAAAGAAAAAATACTAAAAGCAGCAAGAATAAAGCAACAAGTCACATATAAAGGAATTCCTATTAGACTAACAGCAAATTTCTGAGCAGAAACCTTGGAGGACAGGAGAAAGTGGGATAATACATCTGAAGTCCTCAAAGAAAAAACTGCCAGAAAGGAATATTATACCCAGCCAAATTCTTCTATGCTTCAGAAATAAAGGAAATATAAAATCTTTTACAAACAAGCAAAAAAACTAAGGGAATTATCACCACAGAAACAGCCAAAAACATTCTCTAGGGAATCTTACGTCTTGAAGTAAAGAGATGGTGATTACCATTATGAAAGCAACTAAAACTATTAAGCATACTAGAAGAGCCAATAAACAAAGGATAAAGATAGAGGAATCATATCTAATCACTACAGTAAAACACCCAACAAGCCTACCACCACCACCA